AAATATTTCATTAATCTCCACAGAGATTGTCAACAGATGTTCAGTGAGAAGCCAGAAACTAAATGCAAAAACACCTTTGGACCTGTTACAATCTAGGTAAGAAAAACGCTGTTTCTAAATCTCAGCATGCAAATTAAAGCATCTTCTTGATTTACAATACCTGAAGCATGATCCTAAGATGCACTTAATGTACATACTTAACCTAGTGACTTATTCCTTTGCGTACTGAGTCATGTAGTAAAGATTCCAGTGTCATAACAAACAGGTTTCAAAGCGCCAGAGTTGGATGTGAAAAATCCAAGGCAACAACTTACCATCTCCTGAGATATAAAAAAAAAAATAAATCTCAGCCTAACACAGGCTTTGCATATTTCTATACTAAATTTGAGAAACAATGGTACAATGGCTATGAATACGGGCATGCAATTGACAGCAACATGAACTGCCTCCTATGCTTCCTGGTCAGATGAGTTCTAAGTGGTAACGTGGATGTCTTAGCTGGGTTTAGATGACAAAGCCACCATGCCTTTGTACAATTTGAAGTCTGTGCTGCTGTGAGCCCTGTCTTGATTCAACAACTCTGGCACGCTGTTTGTGTATTCACCTGTAATATTTACTGTCCTTCACCAACCTAGCGAGAACACGCAGAAAAGTGATCACACAAATGCAAAGGATTTGTTTGCAGATGGATTGACCCTGAAGCAGCTCAGTGAGCCGTGTACTGATGTGAAGAGAAAGAAAATTGCATGACCAAAGGGGCAGTTGAGCAAGCAGCTGTAAAATGATGTTCTGTTACTTAGACAAGGAGGGTAACAATTATGAAGGTATACAAGGTACAGTTATTGACTTAAAGAAAACACAGCTTGACTGAATTTCTTCCATCTTCAATAACTTACAGTATTATTACTGTAAATAAGGCAACTAGCAGATAAAAACAAAAACCATCTACTGCACACTGAGACATCAAGATTTTACACTTCTGAAGCATATAAACTTATCTGAGGTGTGCCAAAATTGATGCAAGTTCCTACACTACAACAGTGTCATCACAGCCCACCCCCACCTTGATCCCTTAAAAAGTAAAACAATGATAACAAAATAAACAAACCCACAAAAACCACTTTTTTTTCCCTTCCTTTAAAGAAAAAAAAAAAAAGCTTTGTAAACAACCGAATGGATGAAGTCTGGCTTCCTATGTTTTAACCTGCATACTCCAGGCTGTTCCTTAAAATTGTTACAGCCTGAAAAGACAGCAGCATTTAGTACTTGCTTTGAGCAGCCTGCTGAGTGCTAACTCATGACTTAGTTTAGGAATTCATACTTACTGCCCTTCTAACAGAATAAGAATCCTTGAATCACAATCACACTCTCTATAGAACAACTTAAAGAGTACAGCAGACAGTACCAGGAAGGATTTATCTCTGCTATGAAGAAAGATTGGGGGAAGGCTTGTTTAGCTTAGAGAAGAGAAAGCTCCAGGAAGATGTCATTGTGGCCTTCCAACATTTGAAGGGAGCATATAAACAAGAGGGGGAACGACTGTTTACAAGGGTAGATAGCAATAGGACAAGGGAGAAGATTTTTAAATTAAGAAAGAAAGGGGAGGTTTAGGTTAGATACTAGGAAGAAGTTTTTCACTCAGAGGGTGGCATTCAAGGCCAGGCTGGATGTGGCTCTGGGCAGCCTGGTCCAGTGGTTGGCAACTCTGCCCATAGCAGGGGGATTGAAATTAGATCATCTTTGAGGTCCTTTTCAACTCAGGCCATTCTATGATTTTGTCAATCAATTCTCAGAACATGAATGTAGTGTTTGGGGAACTTGTAAATTAAAAATTACTCGAGTATTCTTGGATTTGGTTACTCACTTCAGCACTTACCTTTAAGCCTTCAGTTACTCAAAGAATCTTTGATCAATAAAAAATAAAATACTAAAACACTAAAACACCACTAATTGATCATCAGTCAAACGTTATAAAAGAACATTTGAACTTTAACTCTGTAAGCAGCCCCCCCAGAAAGTGGGAATTTCTACTGTTTTCTGATATTATTTCCACAACTGCCACAAATACAGCAAATCTGCTTTAGATCTTTATAACAACGTGTCTGTTGGAAACTAAAGCATAATTTCCAACCTTGGTATTTGTGGTCTAAGCAGAGTAAGTACAGAAGAGTTTCTAGAATTTCCTTGAGTAAGCTTCACTCTGATCCTGGTGCATCCTGGAGATCTGCAGCACAGTGTAGCTGGAGTACATAAATTACTACTAAGTGCTAGCAGAATATAATCTGGTTTGAAATTGAAATATACCAGTAATCTTTATGTAAATCACTTAGTGAAGAACCACCTTCAGTCAATTAAATACCAAACTACATTTTCCTCAACAATTCAGCAAACATTTACTTTTCACATAACCACTTTTCCTCTATCCCCTACAAACAGGCAGAGAGAGATAGACATTGGATATCTAGAACCAGCCACTCTCTACATTTTAGATTCCTCACTCAGGTTTAAGAGGTGTTAACGTCACAATGTTCAAAGATACAGAAATCTAATCCTCCTCCCAGCTGAGCAAATCAAGTTACATTTCTTCCCCATTATTCATCTATATTATTGCAGGCTTTTAAACTCCTTTCCCACCTGTGACACTGGCACAATTTTGTCTGATACAACCTGAAGGCTTCTATTAGTCTAAGCATCGCTTATTTTACCCTTTTTCCTGAAACCATGCTATGTGAAAGACTCTGGACATCCTTGGAGTTCATGAAAGAACCTTCTAGGCTTACATAGAAACTCTTTAATAAAATCATCTTATCTATATGGTCTCAGACTGCAATTGCAGATTAGAACTGCTTCTGAAAATCAGAGAACAAAATGTACATTTCCAACACTTTTAGAGAACTTAATTCCTAATTATCTATAAGGCACAACATGATCTTGAGTACAATTCTTTCAGTTTTCAGTGAAAAATATACCAATAACTTAAGTTAGAAACTAGCATTAAGCATCACCTTAGTTAAGTTAGATACCAAGGTGCATTTTCCTAAAAAGCACACATTAGCTTGTCACACTTTTCCTTCCCATAACTCCTGAACTTCATAATTGCCAAAACTGTCAAACATGAAAATTTCTCTGTTTCGAACAGATTTCTGTTGTGTTACATGAATACTCAACAACGTGAAATGCAAAACAGACTCATTTTGAGGAAGAGAAGCAATAGAAGAAAAAGGAGGATGTTTTTGCAGAAGACAGCACTGCACACAGATCTGAAAATATCTGTCAAATGTGAGGCGAAAATTAGTATTTAGAATCAAGCTCCTCAAGTCCTAATAGGCAGTGATCTTATGTGATCAGACCAGTGATCATACTGAAGATAACTAGCAAGCAAGCAACTACTCTGAGTGAATCTGTCCCCAACCATGCTAGTAATCTTTTTACTCACAAAACAGGTGTCAAAATATTTTTCCAAGCACAATGAGACTGTATCTTTTACATACATCATTAACAGAGGTACAACTTCCGCAGTACTTATTTTCTTCTGTCTAGGTACTCAATGTGTTGACATTTTAAAAAATTCAATCCAGTTTCTAAAGTTTACATTGAAAGCATGCATTACCAGTATGCACCGTGGAAAAAGCTTGTACTGCACAGCATGCTAGAATTCCTTAAGGATTATGTCAACTTACAGGAAAAAAGCACAGATAATATCGAGCTGTTAGAGCAGGCCCAGAAAAGGCCAGGAAGATGATCAGAGGGCTGGAGCACCTCTCCTACAAGACAGGCTAAGGGAGCTGGATTTGTTCAGCCTGGAGAAGACTGTGAGGAAACCTCATTGCAGCCTTCTAGTATTTAAAAGGGGATTATAAAAAGGAGGAGAAAATACTATCCCAGATAGATAGTGATAGGACAAGGGGAAATGGTTTTAAGTTGAAGGAGGGAAGATTTAGGTTGGATATTGGGGAAAGTTCTTCACAGAGAAAATGGTGAGGTGCTGGCACAGGCTGCCCAGAGAGGTTGTGGATGTTCTGTCCCTGGAGGTGCTCAAGGCCAGGTTGCATGGGGCCCTGGGCATTCTGGTCTAGTACCAAATCTGGAGGTCAGTGGCCCTGCATGTAGCAGAGGGGCTGGAACTTGATGATCCTTGAGTTCCTTCCAACCCAAGCTGTTCTATGATTCTATGAATAATTCTACGAATATTCTCAAAACAGAAGCATTTTGAAAATGATAGGAGATTCTCAAAGTCAAGAATAGCCAAAGCTGGTTGATAAGCATCATATATTGAAGATTTTCTTCCAGCTATAAAAGCTGTTCCCAACTGGAATACCAAGTGTTCTTATTGCCTGTAGCAAAAACTGAACATCTGAATCAATTTTTTTTTATTTGCTGCACATTTTATTAACCTTAATTTGAAGCACTTACTGCACCTTTTGAAAGCTTGGAACAAATAACTCAGTCTGAAATAACAGTTCCAGTGTGATACAATTTTTCCAAATCTAGGAGAATTTAAAAGTGTAGAAATTGAACACTAAGATTATCCAGAGACTGAAACGGGAAACAAGCCTTTGTGGTAAATAGTAACAATTATGTATTGATGCAACTCAGAAATATATGTAGAATATTAGCCATCTGTATGATATTTTAAAATCATTACTTCTGGTGACATCATAAACCATAAGCTGAATGAATCCTGACACACTTGCAGAGTACACATATTTACTGGTTACCTTTGAGCTTCAAAAAATAAAAAAATGAATAAAGATCAGTGCAACCTGCAACCAGGCTTCAAGTATTTTCAAATCAATTATCAACAGAAGTAAAAATCTTGTCACAGATGAAGTAGCACCCAATGATGATTCACATAGGACAAAACAGCAACATTAGGGAGAAAAGTGCTCAGCAGAGGTTGTTTGCAAGAAATAGTAAAATCTAAAAATAAACATTTGGATTAACTTTTAGAAATTCAATAAGGAAGACTTCATTAAAGCAAAGTAAGTACTAAACTTTACCTTTTCTGGATTGTAATATAAAGATTTCAAAGTGGTAAACAAGGGTGGGCAGCCTTTACTGAAGTTAACCCTCAGGAACTTATCCAATAGTTCTCTAAATTTTTCACCTAGAAACAAAAGTGTATTTGGTTATATGTCAGTGATTGCAAGTGTTATATAAATATTAGCACTACTCCGTGTACAGTTCTGGATAACAGAGCAACTGAAAAACTGTAGTTAAGGGTTTTTATCTTTTAATTAAGAATGAGGTGCAAATACGCTCTGGATTAATTAAAATAAAAAAAACAGAAAGGAAAATGCTTAACTTGCTAGCATTTAGGAGACCGATGACTAGAAGACATGGTAACAGTCTCCAAATCTGTAACAGCTGTTAAAAAGGGAAGGTATTAAAAGTTTTAATACTGCACATAACAAGGGCATTCAAATAAACACTGGAAAAAACATAGCGGTAAGAGTAACTAAGCACTGGAATAAATCACCTTGGAGATCTTGTAAAAGCTTCATCACTAACTCTTTATGATTGAATTACACGAATGTGAGTTAGCAATAGCACAAAAATTATCCTGCACTGAGGAAGAAGGATGGATAAAATGAGTCCTGCACCTCTCTTCCAGTCTTTTTTTTTTTTTAATGAGTAGGACACAACTTCAAATACAATGATTGTTTCTGGAATCAGAAACAGGACATGTATTCAGCAGCACCGTATCCACAACACTTAGTAAACTTAATGAACTTTTCATTACATTTTCAGGTTAATAAAAGTCGTAGTACTTGCAGTTTCATGTTCCTGAGAAATGCTGTTTGTGAAACAAAGCTAGACTTCAAAGAGAAGGCATCCAATGAAAAAATAAAAATACAGCTGCTCTTCATGTTTGTATCCCTATGGAAAACAATGATTGTTTCCCATTGTTTCAATTTATTGTTTTTTGCTTCACTTTGCTTTGAATAGAGATGAGGCTGTTACACTTCACTGATTGCTGTCGTGGACTTCTCAATCTTTAAACATAATGCTAACATATGCTCATAAGACAGTTGAAATAAGCTTCAATCCATTAAGAACACATTAACAAAATTTGATTAACACATGGCTTTAAATATCCAGGAAAAAAAGGCCTTACTGCTCTGCATGTAACATTTCTAATGTACTTCTACCAATTCTAAACTGCCCTCAACTTGTTATTGGCAATGTTACTGACACAAAGTTATAATAGAAGCTCTTTAGTAAAACAAACTGCTAAATAAAGGAGCTTCTACCTGTGGATGAGGGATCCATAACTTGACCATAAGCCCAGGCTTTATGACAGGTGGTTTAATTAAGAAGTTTTCTCACTCTACAAGGAACTGCTCATTGGCAACCAACCAACCAGACAAAACACTTCATTCTTAATTTCTTCTGTTGCAATACTCTTGATGGAATTGTAACTTAGAACCTAACAAAGCGAGGTTCAAGTTTCCATTAAGAATGTGGGTGGGTTTGGTTTTTTTTTTTTTGTATAGAAAACAGAACAGCTTTGAAAAAGAATAAGAAACATCTAAAAAAAAAGATGCACCCTACCTACAACATAAAGTCCAGCATTCACTCTTCAACTGATACACAAAAGAGACTTGACAGACAGAGACAGAACAGTGAATCTACAGCAATTAAACAGCTCTAAAACTGGATTGCCAGACTCCATTTCCCCATCTTTGACTGCCCCCAAGCTCCCAGAAGGTGGTTTCCAGCAGAATCAAGGATCTGATTTGCACCAATTACAAAGTTATTGTGATGGGATGCAAGGTAAGCATCTGGTCACTGAACACACAGGGACAGCAACTTCAACCAAATATTTTCCTCTCTTTGAAATTTGAAAGCACATTTCCAAAGAAGTTTGTCTCTACATCTTAACATTTTCATTATTAACTTCAGCCAACAACATTTCTTATCTGCTCAATTTACAACACGAGGCATTTGGAACAGAAATGCAGACCTATCAGGTGATTTTCTGCAGGCTCAAAAACAGCCTTATTCAATCTGACCAAAGCAGACCTAAAGGATCGACAGAGAAGTTTTAAATCAGGGAAATTCTTTTTATTATGAAAACCACAGAGTCAAATTCACTGAGAGATTTCTCTCAAATTTAGTTTAATTGTAAAATTAGATTTAATTGTTAATTATTTGGCTTTTGAAACAGCAGGAACAACTGATGCCTATAACAAAACTCATTTCTACTTGAATGAACACCAGCTGTAAAACCACACTGTACAATGAGAGAGTAACCCAGAACAAAACATACAGTGAAGAAGTCAACACAAAGCACACTACTAATAGAGATATGGAAAATCATTTTGAAAGATACTAATCATTTGCTATGTATTGGTGTAAACAACTGGGTAACAAAAGAAAAAATTCTGTCATGTGGCTTTTTAATAAAATCTAGCTAAACTGTCATGACATTTTGCCTTTGTAGCTCCAAGAAATGTAAGATATCTGGGATTAACTAAGGCACCAGGTGTTAATTTCAGGGCTAACCTCTTATGAAGTGTCTTGTGCTTTTATACAAGAATGGTGTATGCACATTTAGACTCCTAAGCAGACAAGTGTACTAGTTATGTTTGGCAGTATTAAAAGGTATAGTGTATGCAATGCTCAGTAAATGAATGAAACCAAAAGCAAACCTTAGTTTCCTTCCTCCTCTCTTGGAACAGTACAGTTTTTGTGTTGTTTTTGTTTTTTCTTTCAACTATATTCCTCGCAGAGCTGAGGGTAGTTGGAGCTTTATTTCAATACAACTTGTAAAAGGATATAATCACTGAAAAGAACTTTGTTATAAAACTAAAAATACAACAACCCATTACGAAACACTGCACATCTGCTTTTTGTTCCTGTTCTTCTTAAATTACCAGCAACAAGTTGATAGATTTTGGATAAAAATGGCTCTAGACAAAAATGCTGCAAAAACGCTGTCAGATTCACAAAAGTGACTTGGTGTTTTCTGGTACATTAACAGTATTAAAAAGGTCATGAAATTCATGCTTCTTGATTATAGTATGCATCTTTGAGAACTGCTTTCTGTGGTTATAAATTAGAATGTAGGTTAGCCCACATGCCTGTGCACGTGCACAGAGACACAGAGCCCTGCCTCCAAGTGCAGCAAACTCCTTGCCTTTTAATTGATGCTCTTTAAGTTGATGATGGAGAAAAGCAATACGCAATCATTCACAAAAAGCCTGGACACTATTCTGTCCTGTAATTTCATCAATGAAAACAGCATTACACAGTTGGTACCACCATATTAGAGTGCGTGAACGTTTCCTATCAAATCCTAAAACGTAGGATAAAATACTTCTGTCTAATCCAGAAAAAAAAAAAAGCATTTGTCTAATTTGTGTACATGCAAAAGTAGTTATTAAATGCACATCTAACAGCCTACCAAAAATTAAGAGAAAAAAGCAAAAAAAAAAAAAATTATTATGGAACAGATATGCAACGTGTTACCTGAAACAAAGTTTAAAGGTAATCTTCTAGGTGAAACTGCTCTGGGATGCCTTTTACTAACTTCTTCATAAATCTGAAGCCTCTCTTCTAAAGTGCCTATTATCAGTAAATACAATAGATATAAGTAACAGATCAAAATCTATTCTTCTAAAGGTTTAAAACGTTGAGAATTGTTAAGATTCAGTATATATTTTGGACTTTGAACCATTTTAAACATTTCAAGCTCTTTTTTTCCCCCAACTAATCAAAAACACTGTGAAACAGTGCACTGAAATCACTAAGTCAGAAGTACCAGCATAATCACTGTAGGGGTAAACTGCAAAAAAAACCCCAAACAACCCAATTACCACTCATGTTCAATCAAACATTAATATTTGTTTTCTTTCAGTTGTACACTGTGCAGACCCATTCATACAGTATTTTGTTATTGATAGCTTCAAAACATGTTTTTCAGTATGCATTCAGGAAAATACACTGTGTATGTTATTTGTATACCTCCAATTTAGAAACTATACAAGCATGTCCTTATCATAAAGTCCTTTGGTGGCAGCAAAATTAGAGCACAACACTGCCAGCACAGACACTGGGCACAACAAGTGTCAATACCTTAACATTTAAAATAACTTTATTTTTCTTAAAGATTTTCTTCCCACTCCTCCCCTTTCCCCCATAATATGCTTTGGAGCTCCAATGTGGTCAGAACTTTAAATTAATCTGGTTTTTGAGATGCCATTTTCATATAACTACGATCAATTTTGCTTCAATGTTTTTCAAATTCATCAAGCAACTTCAATAAAAATGAATGTTTTTCACATCAAGACTATGGCACAACAGATGTTTAATGAATATTTCCAGTTTCTTTTCTAAGAAAAACGATTTCTGTGGTCTCTGAGCTCTGATATTGGGGAAGGGGGGGAAAAAAATATATTACCCAGCGGCTCCAAGAGATGCGCAGTTCTAATAGCAACACTGAAGTAATGTTTGAATTGGAACTAAAGCACATAAAAAGCCTAATTGAAGTCACAAGTTGGAGCTCCAGAACTTACCATGGGGGAGGAAATAGTCCTAAGACCACCTAAAAAATAAAGTAGCATTATTAGTTTTATAAATTAGTGAAGTTTTATGCTATAACCAATTTTAATATGTCAAATAATCTACTGTATTGGTTACTTGTTAAAAACCATTCATATCAACATATTCTATCAAGCAGAATAATCAATTTTGGATGATTAATTTTGAAATATTAACAATTACCATCTTTTCACCTCTAGAGATACACTAGGAAAAACATTCAAAGGGCAATGGTAGTCTCTACATAAATGCAACAAATATAATCATCTTCAATTCCCAATCACAAGCTGCAATTCCAGACATTATTAAACCCAAAACATAAAACTTTCTGGAAGCTGGTTGAGAAATACAACGCAGATCTCATATCTACAAACAACATGCTTGTGGGCTTATGATTTATGATGTCATCAGAATTATTCCAATAAAACTTCCATTAATTAGTCAACAGTGAAATACAAGGAACGCATTCTAGTGTAAAAGTAGACACTTGGCAAAGCTATTATTGTGAAGTATTTATTATAGTATACATGATTGCAATATTGTGGGATTATTTTTTTTTTTTAATCCAATTTAGGTAATGTCTTGAAAAGACAGACCAGCAGTAACATGAAATAGCCCTGGGAGCAGAAAAAAAAACAAACAACAAACAAAACCAAAAGGCTTTGTCACATTTATCACTTCTTTTTCCAAAGAACAGTCAGCTTCTAACAAAACTTTCTTATTGTTAAGAGGATATCTGGATTAGAGGTTTACTAATTATTTCCCTATATGTCAAAGTGGTGCCACTCAAACAAGTTTCACAATGATAATTTTACTTCCTGGAGTATAAATAATACTCTGACAATCAGGTTGATAAGAACAAATTGCAATTTGGTTTCCAAGCTCACGCTCAGAAAAGGTCCTTCAAATTCTGAAGTAATTCTGAAATTACTTTTCAGAAAGGATGGTCAGGCACTGGAATGGACTGCCAGGGAGGTGGTGGAGTCACTGACCCTGGGGGTGTTCAAGGAAAGGCTGGATGTTGTGTTGAGGGACATGGTTTAGTGGGAGCTATTGGGAATAGGTGAACGGTTGGACTGGGTGATCTTTTAGGTCTTTTCCAACCTTGGTGATTCTATGATTCTATGAAATGAGCACGTTAAACCAATGGCAGCTTCAGCTCCAAGAAGAAAAAGACTTGCTACTGCTGATGTCATGCATACAAGTGTTTATTCACTTCTTAAACGTTCAATGGAAAGCAACTATATCAAATTTAAAATTAGACAGTAAATGTTCTTCTGCTGAGTAAAGCTTTTTGAACTCTTTTTGCAATACGTCACGCAGAAGGTTTTGAGTATGTCCTGGATTGTAGGTATTTTCATTGTACCAGTACATTTTAACTTACTAGGTTGCAGGGACTTTTCCAGGCCTTCATAATAATACCAGTTTTCTGCATTGCGCTCAATTAACTCTTTGTATACTTCACCAGCTTCTTTTAGTCTTCCCAACTTCAATAGCATTTCTCCTAAAAACAAAGCAGTAAAGAGCTATGAATTATGTGAGGAAACACAGCGTGGCAGTGAAATCTACAAAACTAAGTGAAAACAAATCAGGATTTATCATAGATACTGAAAAAAATATTTTACAGAGGCATTTACAGAAATGACAAGTGCTACTTGAAGTCGTCATACCTACAGCTCAACACAATTTGGAGCACTAAGCACGGGTGAAAAACAAGATTTGCATGTCTTTAACTACATATTTAAACTAGTTATTCGGTTTATTGCAAAGAAACAAAGAAACTTCCTTTCAGAACTGCATAATATCATGCTTAGTAATAAAAAAAATATGGAGAAAGTTTGTTTGGGCAGATGGTCATTGCTTGAAGACTAGCTGGCAATCACTCTGCTTCTGGAAGTGCTGTGTAATTGCCTATGTACTTCCATTTTGTTAGTTCTTTTTTCCTTCATTTAAGTTAACTTGATCTAACCCATAAGTTTTCTCCACTTCTCTCTCCTGTCTGATGAAGGGGACTGCAAGGCATGGGAATGAGCAAGCAGCCAAAGAATACATGCTATTACACTACATAACTGTGCACATTCAGAACCCAGTACTTCAAACCCAGAGAACAACTATGGGTGGTTTTAATTAAAAAAGTCAACTTCAGTATTCACTGAAGGCAGGGAATACAAAATAAATGCATTGGAAGGCTCACAAAGGAAACATTTTGTTATTTCAGTTCCAGAAAAAAAGAAAATAAGTGTTCGTACTACAAACAATATTCTTCATTGGAGTAAAACTGGATTATAATAGCTTTGATTAACAAAGCCACTTATGCAAACACTAACACCACCACCTTCAAGATCTTTGTTCCACTGTCAACCCAAATTAAGCTACCTGTATCCACACGGTTTTCCATAGGGAAAACTACCGAGCACAGCACTGTAGATCCTGTATTAACAGTTTCCCAATATTAGTTGTTCAAAATTAAAGATTTCACATTTATTCTTTGAACACATTACTGTATCTGAAAGCTGGTAGCAAAAGTTTAGAACAAAACTGGCTGAGACAAGAACAACTTACCTTTGATTTCTTCTACTATTAGTTTATCACATATTTGCTTTTCGTATGTCTCTATATGTTCCAGAGACTCCTGAAACAGATCTGCCTCTCTCATCACTTGATTTTGATATAAAATCAGTTCACTATATTCATAATCTATTTTATTTGGAGGAATCTAGAGAAAAAAAGCAATTGATTAGTTACCACATGCCATCTGCCTGTATCCCAACTATATGCCATGTTACAGAACACACGATTCAGACAACACAATGTATCATGTCTATATACACCCTCCCAGGCATTCAAAAATGTGAAAATCTCTATATTCACAAACAAATTAAGCACATTCAGGATACCCACTGTTGTTATTTCTCTACTTCACTTTTCTCTACCACTGTGGCCAGGTGAACGAAAACAGAATTCTTGCATTCCCTCAGAGGAAGGTCTCAGCAATCTCGCTCCTTTTGAAGGACTCAGGTACGGCACCGTAATTTTGACCTAAGCTCTGCAGCAGGTTCCTTAGATTTCACAATACTGCATTTCAATATAACGCAAATTCTGCAATGAATTATTTCCAAAGAACAAGGAACCACTCAAACATTGGCCTCAGATTGAAAAACTTGCAGTTTTTTCGTGTAGGAAACCTGAATTCTTTTCTAGCTAAACACTCTGTACTACACTTGAATTCCACTGAAAGTAACAGTTCACAAGCAATGCAGTGTCTTCAAACAACAGCTAATTCTCTTGAGGTCTGCATGCATATAGTAAAACTAGTGTGCCACCCACTTTCCACTAATGCATCAGCCACTGAAAAAGGATGACACATTCAAAAGTATTTCCTTCTCCCTTAAATACATTCAGGCAGTCATAAGTCTTCCTAGAGTCGTGATAATTTCATTACAAATGGTCTTTGCTAATATGCACAGAAGTTGTAAATTGCAAGGATTTCAGAGAGCAAACATAGAAGTAATGGACAAGGCCCAGCACACCTTCACAGCAGTTCATTATTATTACGAAATCAAAGAAGAAAAGGCAATCACAGTCTATACGTAGGAGATTTTGTTACTTTTTGTTCCACTGTAGTAAAAATAGACAAACAGCAGCTCAGCTTGAAAAACTGTTATCAATTTTCTTTCCTGTGACACCATATACTCTGTTTATTCCTCAGCAAACAAGACTTCTCAGTCACATTGGTCACCAAATGCTTTACAATTACTGTTCCCTGAGTAGGACTTTTCTACCAGCTTCATTGAAAAAACAAAGAATTTACTAAACAACAATAAACAAAAGACATTTAGCTGGTTGAAATTAGCATTTATATTAAAAGAATATTGTCCTCAACTCTTCCTTCCAGCTCTTCTAAGTACGATCCAGATTTGAGATTTAACATTGCTGCTTAAATATTCCTTGAAAAAGCAGCCCAGAGGAAAATTTATAGTATGGTATATTTTTAAGAAGGAAGGACAGCATAAGTAAATACAGTGTTGTAAAGAAGCACGTATCTGACCATGAACATCAGGTTTGGGGCTGAAAGTAGCAGCATGCTTTTATTTATTTATAACAGTTGACATATAGCAAAAGATGGCTAATGGAACGAAGGTGATTAGGCCTTGCACCCACTAGAGTCAGCAGCTAGCAAGAATCCTATTCTTTTCTTATATTTCCTCCATCTGCATTTCCATTTCTGCTTCTACTTTCGCTCATTTTTCACCCCTATTAAACATCAACAAAAACAGCGTTACCTGGAGAGCATTATCTACTTCCCAAAACAGCCACACACAATAAGCATTCACACGAGCTTTTCTGGTTATCAGCACTGCAATACCACAGAATTGAAGAACTGCAGAGCATCCGTTCTTTTTCCTTCGCTTCCTTTATAAAAATACTGTGCCTCCAATTCAATACACTTATGTTTAAGTTACTCAGGTAGCAGAGTTTTCTGGCACATTATCAATCATCTTTAAATGGCCTTTAAAATAAAGAGAGATGACCCCAACAACCTTAAAAAAAATACAGGGTAGATTTAGAGTAGATATTAGGAAGAAATTCTTGACTGTGAAGGTGGTGAGACACTGGAACAGGTTGCCCAGAGAAACTGAGGATGCTCCCACTTGAAAGCATTCAAGGCCAGGCTGGATGGGGCTTTGAGCAACCTGGTGTAAAGGGAGGTGTCCCTGCCTACAGCAGGGGGTTGGAGCTGGATGATCTGAAATGTCCCTTCCAACCCAAACCATTCTAATGTGCTGTGATATCAAAGATGAGAAGTAGGTATCAACTAAACTTTCACTGTCCTGGCTTGGCAGGACTAATAGGAAAGAAACTGTGAAACAACAAAGAATCGCTGACTTCCTTCCTTCTCAAATATAGGATAAATCCACTGGAAACTTACTGTGCTTTCTGTCTCCCAGAGCGATTACAGATAAGATTTCAAAATTCTCTCTAAAAAGAAACCTTTCTGAAAATCTATCAGGTTAAAGACTGCTTAAACATGCAATTCATCAGAAGACAAACAGCTTAAGACCTCAGTGCTTAATCTGAACAATAGACTGTCCCAACTGATTCTATAAAAAGTTCCTCCTCATACACACTCCATTGCAATTGCCAAACAACACATCTTTATTCCTCCCTCCACCCAGAAAAATTACGAGCCTTGCAGTATATGAGATGCTCAACTTTCTCTGGAGCTCAATTCTGCTCTTTCAAGAGAAAATTCTTCCTCTCCTCAAGAGCAACAATAAAAAAAAAAATCTGTTTTACAACTGCAGCCACCCTACCACAACTATCACCGAAAGAATGTGACAAGATGCAGCCAAAACATACCTAAGAACAAACCCCCAGAACTCCAGAGGCTTTCTGTCCATATCTGTAATTGTGGGCCTGATGCAGAAATTAGGAAAAAAATAAAAATGAAGAGTATAAATTCTGCTCTGGAAAGGAAAAATGGGATATAGAACAGTGAAACAAATTGCATAATTGTTTTAAACTTTTGTTCCTAAAGTTCAGATTCCAAAGCAACTCTTAAATCATTCATTTAATTTGTACAGCACAGGCTCTTGTATTTCCTGTAGTGATCTCTGCACTCCACCTCATCACCTGTTTTTGGCTGAAATCTTGTGCATCTGGCTAATTTACAACTTCCAAATGGCAAGCAGCATTGATCTAGATCTTGAAAGACTAAGACAGAAAATTCACCATTCTTAATGTTAACTTAACCACTAGAATAAAACGGTCACTGATAAAAAATGATTTATCATTCAAATTTGTTCAGCCTCCAGCCACTATTTATCCTTGGTTTTCTCCTTTCTCAGTAACCTCCCTGATTATCATTCTTCCCCAAAATCCCCCCTGATCAGTACAGACCAGAATCACTTTTTTTTTTTCCCTGCTTGCAGGAAACCAATGGGGTCTCCACCTTTCATCAAACAGCACTTTCTCTAGTGCTCTCATCTTTCCATATAGCTTTTCATTTTCTAATATCATCAGAAAGCCATGATCTCCCAGTAATCAGACCTCAATAGAGCAAACCCCTGTTTCTTCTCAGAAATGAAGGTGTTTCCCGCTTTTCACCCAGAAGCAAGCACTGAGAGACAATTTTACAGTAAACTAAGCCAACCCAACCATAGCCTGGATCAACAGAGGCAGTCCACTTCCCTCCATTATTTCCCTTCCTTTTCCCCTCTCACCTCACAGTTCAGCCAATGACTCCTTCTAAAAAGTGATTACATCTCTGTCTTTTTGCTTCCTGAACCACACAAGCCAAACAGTGCTGCACAAAAAAGCAGTGGGAGCACACTGGACATCAGATTGCTGGTTTTAGCAATGGCTTGCAGTTAATCAGCTCTGTTATTCCATAATACTGCATCTTAACATATTCACTATCCATCTACAATCAGTAAAATGTCTGTTCCTTCATTTTCTTAGTTTTAGTGCTTGATTTTGGCCGCATTAACTCACATTTCAATGGACAAAGTCGCCTGAGTAATCCAAGGAAATGGCTATGATCACCAACATTGCTATTATTTATCAATTATTGTGACAGCAGTATTTCACATTTATTCCTTTTTTATTCATTAACAGAACTGGTAAACAGTATCAAACCTAACACAAATTGCCATAACACTCCTCTAAAACATCAGTCTGCCCATGACTCCCATTCACTAGTGACTTAGAAACCCTTCAGTTTCAAACACTGAATACCAGCACCACTTGAAAGTGATACACAACACTCCAAGTCAGTCACAAAAACACATCTGTTAGGCTCAAGTAAATACAAAGCGTGGGGCAAGGGGAGAGATTTATCAATTAAAGCTAACAAGAAACACAATTCCTCAAATTCACAAGTATACTGAGCTAAATCATGTTAAGCACACAACTTAAATATCCAGAGACTGCACCAGCAGCACACTTGGGAACTACAGAAGAGCCAATGTGTAGCAAAACTGAGCTGTGATTTTGCTAAGGCTCTCTTGAGTGCAGAGAACTGAAACTCTCCTCTCTTCTAGCAGCTGGACTGTATGTGGGTTTGCACTTCTCAGAAAGCTTCTACAGCAAAGCACAAAAGCACAAGGCACAAAACTTTTTCTGTTTGCAAGACATATGGAAACTAATGTGGTCAACTGTAATGACGTAGAGGAGAAAACAGAATTCATCACATAACCATATCTATCAATCACAAAACGCTTGACATAACTGATTTTCTACAAACTCACACTGTCCAGCACTTATGGTATATTTCTGTCCTCTAATGCCTAAACATCTGTTGTTGGTCTGGCAAGTATTATGCTAAGCAACAGTAAAAATAGTTCATGTTGCTTGTATTATTGAAGTATGAAGCCTTGTCTTATTTACTGACATTTCCCAAATATTTCCAGACTTCCAAAAAAAATGGCAGCAGAATTACACATCTCAAGATTTATTCATTTTTTCTTTTTCTTTTAAGGATTCTGATAAATTCCACAGACTCAACCGATTTAATATTGTTATCTATGGCAGATGGTATTCAAATATGGCTTGGTTACTACACTGAAGAGTATATCACCACGACTGCCCTCAGATAAACATATTTACACACGGTCTTTAAGAAAAGGCAACAGCATTAGCAGCATCACTTCCACTCTCTCCAGAGAGTCAAAACTAATTTTAAGTGCTCTTTGATATTAAGAAAGCCTCAACTTCTTACAATTTGTCATTTGCAGTTTTTACATCTATTATACATTATTTTCAATTACAAAATTCATTTCAACACTGAGCTCAGATAGGGCTCTGCTGATTCATTAGTGAGCCATAACTTCCTGGCTGTCAAACACCCCAAAAATGACCCCATTTTTATTTAAATAGATTATTTTCAGCTTTTATTCAACACTGGAATGACAGCTCTCCAGTAATATCAAGCTATGTATCCCTGGCATACAAAGCCTTCTACTTGACCATGATACGTGATCAACACACAAACACTGGACTCTCTCCTAGCAACTGCTGATTTTCTTTTCCTAAGTTAGTCCACTTCTGGCAGCACAATAGGATCTCAAACACATTTATCTCAGACTGGATGCCACATCTTTGTTAACACAAAACAACAATCACAATCTATAGATCAGGTAATATTTTAGCACTTGTGCAAGAAATTCTCAAAAAACATGGTTTTAATTTCTACATTACAGACTAATCCACTGTTCTCATTCATCCAACGCTCTGTTAATTCAAACTTTACAATTCCAAGTCACTAATAATAGAAATAAATCGACCCTCCTTTTAAAAAAAAAAAAAGTTTTACTCGGGAATCTTGGCATTGATTTATTCAAACAAGTTTCAGTAACACCAGATCTTCTGGGCTGCACCAGAAGAGGAGCCACGGGAAAGAAAGGTACAGACTCTTCAGCAGGGTCTGTGGTGATAGAACAAGGAGAAATGGCTTCAAGCTCAAAGAGCATAGATTTAGGTTAGATATAAGGAAAAAAATCTTTTACAGTGAGGGTGGTGAGGCACTGGAACAGGTTACCTAGTGATGTGGTTAACGTCCCAGCCCTGAAGACTTTCAAGATAAGGTTGGGTCAGGCCCTGGGCAACCTGATCTATTTGTGATGTCCCTGATCATTGCAGGGGAGCTACACTAGATGCCTTCAAAGGACCCTTCCAACTAAGGATTCTATGATCTTCTCAAACATAAGGGTTTCTAACTCTGTTTTCTTGCAACCCTGATACCAAGGACTGATTGCAAGTCAATAGTATACAGATGTACATAAAACAACAGCAGTTTCTTTTCCTGATATTTGTAGAGGTGCAATGAAATCCAGGTTATGATAGAAGAGACAGAATGTGTGTGCACACATCCAGTGTTAAATGGTGCTTTCTGAAGTTTTACCCACTATAATGAGACAAGATCAACAGTGGTTTTCTTTGGCTACAGGCCTCAGAGACATTAAGTTATTTCACATCAATCTACCTGATGGCTTACTGCCAGGGAACAAGTGATCCTGTATAATTTGCATCAGCTGCTAGCTCTTTGAGATACCTAAATGTTCAAAGCAAAAAGTTCCAGAAATAATAGAAATGTCTTCCTAATTCTTAAATGGTTCATAATTTGGTTTCCCTAATTATGAAAAACTAATTCACAAAGTGGCTTGGGTTAGAAGAGACCTTAAAGATCATCTAGTTCCAGCTGCCAGTTCTTCAGATTCTCTCTTATCTGCAAAGAATTTCCTGAATAGAATAGCAAGTCTTACCTGTTGGGTTTTTCTAAACTCTTCAAGTAGTTTTAAGGCCATATCATAATCTTTAAGTAAGTGGTATGCAATTGCATATCCGATCCAGGAAGCTCGTTGTGTGGGGCGCAGCTGAAGTAACTGGTATCTCGTCTCCTTGAGTAAAAAGAAAGACATTAAAAAAAAAAGAGAGGTTAAATTACTACATTATTACCACAAACTATCATATAAATCTACATTTTAAACATAGTAGTCATGGCACAAAAAGAAAAAACAAGACTTTTTTGGTACATAAGAAGTGTCATTTTAAGAAGCCTCTCTTAGGGCCGGCCTTATTCCCAAAGCTAGAACACTGAAACCTCAGAGGTGTGTCATTAATAAACACTAGCTCACTGCCACTGGAAAAGCTGTCCCACCCTTCTCATGCCCACGCACAAAGTCCTGCTACTTATATTAAGCACTGCTTCTCTAACCTTCCTTACTGAGCCACGCCACAGCTTTAAGCCAGCTATCCACTCTTCCTCTATTTGAGAATTCAACACAATCAGTGAAGGAAACCACCTAATGCTAAAACCCACAGTCCAGTCCTCTAACACTTTGGTAGCCAAACGCATTCAGCCACTTTGAAATCACTGACTCAGTTCTTACAGAAATTTAAAGCTGTTATTCATGATAAAATCTGTATTTGAATTCAAGAAAGCAATTAGCACAGGGCAAGTTTCCCACATACTCAATAAAACAGAGTGCATTTTTCTGAAGGGAGAAGGAATCACTACATAATAATGCTCTCAAAACAGAATAAAAGCATTTCCATGATTCCATAAGTCATACCAGTACCCAAAATATTTTAACATCCTTTTTTTTCCTACTCTCCTTTGAAATATCATGACTGGCACAAGTTTCTACAGACTTTCAGAGTAACCTGGAATTATTTCTGTGTGATTCTGTGATTTGTTTTTTGCAAAAGCCCTTCTTGTAGGTTAGGGATCATCTCTATCATAATTCCTTTGACTTAGAGATATTTTACTTCCTTGCTCATTTACAACATTTTAAAAAGTTCACTGGAGTGAGAACGTATTTCTCACAAAAAACACCCTCAGTACTTACAACCAAAACACTGCTTGCAGTACCTTCCAGTAACACAATAAATACATGTTAAGCTTTAGGTCTTATACTTTTTATTTTAGTAAAAAATGGTGGATAGCCTGAATTTTAAAAGGTGATTCACTAGTCAAGTTTTAAAGAGTAAATGTACTTCTGGGGGTGTGTTCTCAATAGAGAATAACAGAGCTCTACTGCAATTCATTTTCATACTCCAACAAGAACTTAAAACACTTCCTACTTTGAAATATCAAAAACAAGTAGTAACAGAATGACTACCAATAAAAGAATTAAAAAATGGAACATAAGAGAATACAAACAGCAATAAATAGGAGTTTAAATAGAATACTTACTCTATATCCTTCTAAATCCCTCATTTGAATCTGCAACAGTGAGAGATCTCTCAGGATCTGCAGATTATCCTTATCTAACTTGAGTGCATTCCGGTAGCACTTGATGGCTTCATCATATTTCTTATCAGAACGCTGCAAAAGACCATAGACGTGCCAACCTAATACATGTTAAGGAAGACACGTCCACAATTTACACAGAGTAACCACAGTGCACTTGTGTTACAGAACAAATAACTCTGCAGCTTCCTTGAAGATCAGTACCCTCGTAAATTAAGTTTGATTACTGCAATCAGACTTTACTGTCAGAAGTTAAATTAAACGCTTCCAAATATGTAAAACACATCATAAAATCTTCCATTAAATCACATTCATAACATACCTCCCCACCAAACTTTGCTATACAGACTAAACAATTCAAAGTCTTAAAGGCACCCTAGAGAAGTATTGTTTGAAAGCACACTACTGTAACCAAAATGGGACTTTTCACCCCAAGAATTCTCTCTGCCTACAAATACAACTGGTGCACAAGTTTTACCCTTCCATCCCTGCCAATCTGCAACCTTAGTGTCCAGGTTTTACAGTAAGGGATAAAAACAGATCTACCCTTTATTAATTGAGAAGATTAATAATACTTCTGGGCACTGAAGTATTTACCAGATTCACAGGATCTCAGACTTCCATCAGTGTATCATTTCACATTTCAATAGACTTCTCTCCCCAAGCATCTGTTTAAATAACTTTTTCTTAGGGAAAAAAAAAAAAAACAAAAAACAACAAACAACTGAAAAATTGGAAAGGTTTTGAATTAAAAACATGAAACCAAGTGGTACCATAGCAACACATTATCTATCCTGTGTGTTTACAACAGTTTCCTAGAGTTACATTAACAAAGATATTGCTTGATATACTACTTGCTACTTCAGGATATTAGTAGCTCATTGGGGCAGCACTAGTAAGTCTGCACTAGTAACTCAACACATTCAAATCAAAAGTGGCTCTTAAGTTCTCTCACGAGGCTCTCCAATGTGCTTCAGAACCAGCTGAATCCAGTTGGGAAGAGCTATAGGCATCCTTAACCCATTTTCAGTTTAAAAGACATAAAAATAGCTCACAGAGCTAACAGAGAAAAAAAAAACATTTAAGATGTCTCATTATACTGATGTGAAAATGAAGCAACTGTTCCCCCTAAAGATGCTATTGTTTGGAAACTACTGAGAAAGCATAGCAAGAAAATTCAAAGCACTAACAAGGACAAATAAGTAGAAAGGTAAGTTCCTCCTTACTTAGAAAGGCCTTAAGTTCTAGACATTAAGAAAGGCAGTTTGTAATTATGAATCACAAAGGACAAGTCTCCAAAAGTGTTTTAATAATCAACAGTCTGAAGGAAGCAGATAATGCACAAGCAAGAGATCCTGGCTGCCGTCCCTACTGGAACACGAGCCATTGACAAACTCAGTATTCATCCTTCAGCCTGCTAGCAGAGCTGCTGTTGCTGCCATAAGACTAAAGGGAACAAACAATTTTGGATACAGTGAGAGCAGCTGGCCTAATGCTGCAGCTACTGTCTGTTGATGATCCTTGTCTCTTAGAGACAAGTATTAAGGACAGGGATCAGACTTAAATGCAGCCTCAAGCCTGCATATCAGCCTCAAGAACAAACTACTGATAATTTAGATTCTTGCCCAGGGTAAGACCAATCAGTGCAAGAGAATTTGTAGCCTAATGAAGATAAGGCTTCAAGTAACTTATGGGGTATTGCTATTATTCCCAGATCCAAGAGGTATTCTGTTTCAAATCTCCATTAACCACATTCCTTACCAAACAATCAAGTAACAAAAGGCAAAAACTCCTTTGGAAATAGGTCTGCACAATGGCAGAAATCATGCACAAGAAAATACAACAGCCAATATAGGCCAATAAAACACAACACTACTAAGAAATCATAGCAGACAGCTTGGGCCAGCCTTGCATGTGTTCCCGTAGTGCACTGAAACAATAACACATCACTTCCTGATGCACTAAATACCAAAGTAAGCATATAGCTCTGACCAAACCATGATTCAAATTATATTCAAAACGGGTCAAAGCTCACCTGTAGCTTGACAACAAAATTTCACAGAATGGCCAGGGTTAGAAGGGACCTCAAGGATCACGAATCTCCACCCCCCCCGACACATGCAGGGCCACCAACCTCCACGTTTAATGCTAGGCCAGGCTGCCCAGGGCCCCATCCAACCTGGCCTCCAGGGATGAGGCATCTACAGCCTCTTTGGGCAGCCTGTAATGTTTCCACATTTCTGAACAGTTCACAGTTTTATTTTCTTCCAGAACCTCAAAGTAGGAAACTATGAAATGGCAGAGGAATTAAAACTTTCTTCCATTATTCCATAAACAAATCAAAACTCCAAGGTGACCAGTCATACTTTAATCATCATCTGCCATATGTTTTTAAAAAGTACAGAGGACAAAATACATCAAAAACGTTTTCAAACATTACTGCTAGAAAATAAAATATAGATAGATTGCTCCTCCTTGAAACCAGCTTCTCAAAAGACATGATTTTAGTGGCTCGTCCCAGCTTCTCTGTCTAATCAAACTGACAGGCATTAAGATGTCAGTGCTTCATTTCAGAGGGAATGTAAATACTATTTTAGAGATCTTCCCAAGCTCTGCTTAGGTGGTACGGAGCATCAGTTTATTATCAAGCTTCCATCAGAACATCAGGGCTGGTCACAAGCCCTTACAAGTTATGCAGAACAGACCTTTATTATTAGAAAGCTGAGCTTCAAACTGAGTTTCTCATGGGACAGAATACAATCTCTTCTCTTGACTTTGTACACACTGAAGCCTCACCATCAGAGGAAACATATTTGGGCAGTGACACTGCGGTTGGCAGCTGCTCTTTAAGCATGGTACTAAAAGACATTTGCCATTTCTTAATAACATCATAAGATGACAACTGAAATACCGTGTCTAATTTCCAACAGATATGGAAAGTTTATTTGTTACTGGTAAGCTTCTGCTCAGTAGAAATGTAATCCTACAGGCAAATTGCTCAAGACATGAAGGGAAACTTTGGAGAGCTACATAACATCTGAGTGCAAGAGGTGGTGGTACGTTTAGTGATAATGCTATGGATACAGCTTTAAAAAAAAAAAAAACAACAACAAAAGGAAAAGAAGTAAACAAGGGAATGCGTACCTAAGTGGATTCAGGTGGGTCTACACTACTTGAAGTCAGAATAAGAAAGAATACCTTGTGGTCATCTTGTGGTAAGAGAAATACCTGAAGTCAGTAAAACAGTGAAAAACTCACAAAAACTCCCTTATGGAGTTGTTTGGGTTTTGTACAAGTACTTTGCCAGGAAGCATCTCTTTGGCTCCAACCCTTGAAATAAAACCCAATTCTTGCAGTGAGCCCTCCCAGCATTTGAAAACAAGGGTTCTACATGGTTTAAAGATAGCCTTGCAGGTAAGAATGGAGGTTGCTGATAAATCCCACACTGGAATTTTTACTGGAAGAACAAAAACACTTCCTTAACTCAACCACATTATTTTGCTCCCCGACTTAATCTGTGAGAAGTCTTCCACAGAAGAAAGTTGCTTTGGTATTTCTGAGATGTTCAACCCTTTAGATTGGGAAGGTACAAGTTGTATTTGCTTGTTCTATGCGTTGTCCTCTCTCTACAAACTGAAGACTTCTCTGTGCTTAGAAGTGTTTCTTAGCCTTGTTATGTTCTCCCATAACCTCCAGCTTCCTGGGAGTTTAAAACAGGAGTAAACAGCAACTGCACTGTGATAACCACACAGCACTTCAAGTATGATACTAAGGACAATTTTATCTTTTTTATGGTTAAAAAAAGACAATTGGAAACTCATCCCTGAGTAAGCTTGATATGTATGCAAATGGATACAGCAAAGCTGAAGTAGCCGCCTGCCTGTAGCATGACAAAAGACAGCTACCCCCAAAACTACTGAGTATTTGGCATGTCTCTAAGTTGCAGATTTTTGGAAGATAAGCTGAGAAGAGAATGGCAGTCATCAAGCCAGTAGCCCCAAAATCACTACTCAAAATTCAGATTTCCAAATAACAAAATACATATTTTCACAGTACTTCTAGACAAGATTTCTTACACTCATTAAGATAAACTCCAGAAATGAGCCACATTTTACACACAGTTTCCTGCAGAAAGCAAGCACCCGTCTTTGTGTAAGAAACTTAAACATGAAAGGCATTTTGTTTTTCTTAAAGATTCTGTATGATTGTACAAACGAAATTGAAGTTCTACTTGAAGTACTTGATTGCAAATTAATAATCATCACACACACCTCACTTCCAACTTCCTTTTATATGTAGACCACATTGTATACTTCAAAAGTAAAGGCCGATGCAGCACCAAAATCATGCACACAAGTGAGAAGAAAGCAAAAGAGATCAGGTTTTGTATTACAAAGGATACAGACGTGACTCTTTACATCATTACGGAGTCCTTTACGAACAAATTCATATGCTTCTTCCTTCTTCCCTAAACAGTTCAAAGTCAATCCTTTCATAGCCAGCGTCTCTGTAAGAAATATCATATACTTATGCTCTTGATTTCCCATATGCCAGTTTCACAATACAGATATCCTTTGAAGTTGCTACACAGTGAAGTTCCCCATTAAATGATAAATTTAGATCAGGATAGCTGCCTAGCACAGCTGAAGACTGTTATATGGAGGCATTTCCTTTCTTGAAACTGAGTTTGAAGTCTTTTGCAGAGCTTAATACAGATGTGACGAATGCAGACAACACAAATTTTATTAGCAAAAAAAATGCATTTATCTAAGTGAGTTAACAATTAGCTACAGCAGTTTTAAAGTGCTTTTCATTATATGTTAAGGTTTCACATAGGCAGAACAACAAATTATTTAGGTTGTGTCACACCATAAGAAACAAAAATCTTTGTCACAGTCTGTTTATTTACTGCAGATTGCCTAAGAGCAGAAATCCTAAGTTAAGAGGACCATTTTTCCTGCTATAGCACTTTGGGGAAGAAAGTCTCTCTAAGTAGGATTTTAATCAGTACTCTGAGAAGCAAAAGATTCCAAATACGTTGATATGACTATCGCTGTTCTTCCTCCGTCCTTCAAGTAACACTAAAAAACAAGCTGTATGTAAGCATGTGCTGTGCCAGAAAGCTGTTGCAGATTCGTGGGTGGTTTCTTTTAGATCATCTTCCCTGCTAAATAGGAGACCGCTTATTTTTGCCCACTGCCAGACAACAGTCTCATTTTCATCCAAGTATTTCATTTTCCCTCAAACTACAAAGTGTGTTAATGGAAAGGGCTTGTGATCAAGTTTAGTTGTAACACTCACTTTAACCTCATTAGTAGGCCTGTCTCTAGGTGTACTTCTAAAGAAGTGAACAATTATTCAAAGACAACTTATTATTTATTTTTTTTTTTTAAATAGATTGCCCTATACCCATACTCTAAGTTAATCACTGAAAGACAGAATGATACCTTTCAGTAATATAAGGAAGGCTGAAAAAGCACATCTCTACTGTGCGAATCACAGAATTATAGAGTGGTTTGGGTTGGAAGGGACCTTTAAGATCATCCAGCTCCAACCCCCTGCTGTAGGCAGGGACACCTCCCTCTACACCAGGCTGCTCAAAGCCCCATCCAGCCTGGCCTTGAATGCTTACAGGTGGGAGCATCCTCAGTTTCTCTGGGCAACCTGTTCCAGTGTCTCACCACCATCACAGCCAAGAATTTCTTCCTAATATCTACTCTAAATCTATTATGTTCCAATTTAAGACCATTTTCCCTCATCCTGTTGATACATGCCCTTCTAACAATTCCCTCCCCAGCTTTCCTGTAGGCCCCCTTCAGGTACTGGAAGGCCGCTATGAGATCTACTTGGAGCCTTCTCCTGTCCAGGCTGAACAACCCCAGCTGTCTCAGCACGTTCTCATAGTGGAGGTGCTCCAGCCCTCTGATCGTCTTTGTGGCCCTCTTCTGGACCTGCACCAACAATTCCATGTCATTCTTGTGTTGGGGACTCCAAAACTGGACACTATACTGCAGGTGGGGTCTCATGAGGACAAGCTACTGCTACCTGCCCACACCAGGGAGATAGCTGTCCAGTCACAGCAATCCATGTTTATCACCTCACTCAATTCTTTATAATCCCTCATCTCTGAGGCTAAGTGCGACAACAGCACAGCTTCCCATCAGATCATTTCGCTGGCTTAGTTCTGCTTCAGCTGTTCATTTCAGGCTTTGCTCCCAAGCTCCAAAGCCATTCATGGCTTAGAGCCCATGCAGTATGTGGACTGCCAAGGCAGCTAGCTGTTCTGAAGAAGTTTAAGACAGCAAGAGCAGAAAAGATACAGAAACACGTACTAGGAGGTTATAAAAACACAAGTGCTAGCAGAGACAAGTGATGAGGTCTCAGAGGCAGAGACCACTCCCTAATTTTGAGACAAGAAAAATAATCTGTTCTTTTATCTCTAGGAAAGTAACGAAGACAACCAAGAAACACCAGGCACAGACGAAAGAATGACTAGTCAAACATTTTGCCAAGATTTGATGAGGTCAAACAGCAAAATAATTTTGACTCAGTACATGCACAGTCTGTGTTAAATTGCTCAGACAAACAAAAAATGCCTGTATCAAAAGTATTCCTTGAACCATGCAACAGAAATCCTGTAATGCAGCAGCACTTGGGTATCTTACTGAGGATTAAGTTCTGAGAGACATAAATAGAACCAACACTTTCCTGTCCAATTTCCTGCAGTATTTATCGGAACAGGCCAGCCTTAACACCAAGACTCTTACACTTCACTCTGTTTGTCTTAAGTAGCAATTTGATCTGCAGTACAAGAAATTCAAAATATCTAGTTGACAAAAAAAGAAAGATTTAACTCCTTGGTAAAATACCTTAGTTCAGTGCTCAAAACAAGGTAGGGCTTGCAGTTAAATAGAGATGTAAGAAAAAAAATAAAACAGTACACACATTCTAACCTGGAAATCTAGAAAGGCAAATTGAGTGGAAGCTTCACTCAAGTGTGCTTCACTGAATCATTTGATCCTCATGCCACAGAATGTTCCTGACTATAAGCTAGTGTGGAAATTTGGTATGAATGTGCTACATTTGAAAAAAAAAAA